GAGCAAACATGAATGTTTAAGGGCTGTGTGAGTTGGGGAGGAGGGGTTGGCCTTGGGGAAGGGTGTAGAAACTTGGCCGTGGAGTAGGCAGAATCCATTGGCTATAAGAACAGAACTAAAAGAGGCTAGAAAAGAGGCTAGAACGTTTCCTGGGGCAGCTGCCTCTGCTGGGAAAAAGATGGCTCAGGGACATTGCTGGTGCTGAATATTCTATGTAGGGGCAGGGAAAGGGAGCTACTGATGTCTTCATTCTGCACATAGGCCCACACACTGGCTCCACACCCTGCACATAGGCTCACACACCCTGCACATAGGCTCACACACCCTGCACATAGGCTCACACACTGACTCACACACCCTGCACATAGGCTCACACACCCTGCACATAGGCTCACACACTGACTCACACACCCTGCATATAGGCTCACACACCCTGCACATAGGCTCACACACTGACTCACACACCCTGCACATAGGCTCGCACACTGGCTCACACACCCTGCACATAGGCTCGCATACTGGCTCACACACTCACTCATACATCCTGAGGCTGTGATAAATGGGTTACCCATCTTGGCAGAAACCCTGGGGTCCCCTGTGCAGGGAGGAGGTCTGGAGCCTGGAAGACAGCTTTGGGTAGATCCAGTTTAGGCTAACCATGAGCCGCTGTGCCATGAACATATAGACCAAGGTGTTTGTGTCTGTCCACATTGTCAGAATGTATTGACTATCAACAGACTCAAAAGCAGCGTCAGTGTCATTGACTTTACTCCTGGCGTCACCAGCAGTCTTGACCACACCAGCTGCAAGTTTTTCGTTACGCTCCAGTGGTTGTGGTGGCATGGGGACCCATACACATGTCACGGCAGCACTCAGGTGGATGTCATAGGACAGCTTTTTTTTTTTTTTTTTTTTTTTTTTCTCGAGACAAGGTTTCTCTGTGGCTTTGGAGGCTGTCCTGGAACTGACTCTGTAGACCAGGCTGGCCTCGAACTCACAGAGATCCGCCTGCCTCTGCCTCCCGAGTGCTGGGATTAAAGGCGTGCGCCACCAACACCCGGCTTGTTTTTAATTATATTTATTTATTTGCATATGTACATACCAGAGGCAACTTCTGCAAGTTCCTTATCTGTTCTTCCTTTTTTTCCATGTGGGTCCCAGGGGATGGAAATCATCTATTTTGGCCACAAGTGTTTTCACCCACTGAGTCACCTTGTGGTCCCAACATTCAGCTTTTTAGCTTTCTAAGTGGCTTCTGGGGATCCAACCTCAGGCCATCAGGCTTGTAAGGCAAGCACTTTCACCCTCTGAGCCCCCTCCCCAAACCATTCCAGTTTACTGGTGTCTGTAAGACTCGAGTTAAAGCAGGTGGAGGTAGGCGGGCGTTGGTGGTGCATGCCTTTAATCCCAGCACTCGGGAGGCAGAGGCAGGCGGATCTCTGTGAGTTCGAGGCCAGCCTGGTCTACAGAGCGAGTTCCAGGACAGCCTCCAAAGCCACAGAGAAACCCTGTCTCGAAAAACCAAAAAAAAAAAAAAAAAAGCAGGTGGAGGTGGTGCACACCTTTAATCCCAGTATTTGAGAGGCAGAGGCAGGTGGATCTCTGAGTTTGAGGCCAACCTGGTCTATAAAGTGAGTTCTGGACATAGAAACCCTGTCTCCTGGTGGGGGGGGCACCTCAAGTTAGGGCTGCAGAGACGACTCAGCAGTTAAGAGTACTCCCTGCTCTTGCCTGTTTCCAGAACGCACTTCAGGCAGTTCCCAACTGTCTGTAACTTGAGCTCCAGGGAATTCAGTGCCTCTGGCCTCCACAGACACCTTCACTCACGTGGACACGCACATACTTAAAAATAACACAAATAGTGCCAGGTGGTGGTGGTGGCGGCACACGCCCTTAGTCCCAGCACTCCGGAAGCAGAGGCAGGCAGGTCTCCGTGAGTTCAAGGCCAGCCAGGTCTACAAAGAAAGCTTCAGGATGGCCAGAGATGTTACACAAAGAAACCCTGTCTCCCTATCAAAAACAAAAAACAGAGTCAGGTGTCGGTGGTGCACGCCTTTAATCCCAGCACTCTGGAGGCAGAGGCAGGCGGATCTCTGTGAATTCGAAGACAGCCTGGTCTACAGAGCGAGTTCTAGGACAGCCTCCAAAACAATACAGAGAAACCCTGTCTGGAAAAAAACAAACAAACAAACTCAGAAATAAATCTTTTTTTTTAAAAGAAAAGACTTAGCCAGGTGGTGGTGGTGACTCACACCTTTAACCCCAGCATTCAGGAGGCAGAGGCAGGTGAATTCAAGGCCAGCCGGGTCAACAGAGCAAATTCCAGGACAGTAGAAATCCTGTCTCGAAAACAAACAAACAAACAAACAAAAAACCTCAAATTGGGCATCAAATATCACAGTACACAATCGGCCAAGGTCCCCACGCACTTCATCATAACACTAAGCTCCCCGGCTCTGGCCTCTGGTTTAGGTCCATGAACACCATCATCTGCCCAGGACCACAATAAAGTACAGGCTGACTTACTCATGCCAATGACAAATGGCCCGTGAGTTCTGGGCACACTAGAACGCGGAACGGCGGAACCTCCCCATCAAGGACACATGAAAAGAGACAAGCGTGTACATGTAACACGGGACGCCAGCTCTTGTTTTGTGTCAGACCTCTCCACGGGCATCTCACAGCCTCTGTCCAAGAGACTGACAGGTGACAATTCCAACTGTCTGTGACTTAGCTCAGCCTGTCACCTGTCCATGCCTGTGGCAAGGGGCTAGGGATAGGATGCTCTGCCTTTCCATCTCTTCTTGCCACTTGCCCTCACTGCGTTGTGACGTTGATTCGTTAAATCTCCTCCTTATTTCCTCTTCAAGATCATCTGTGAGCAAAGCAGAGGAACAAACACTCCCAGCAGACAGAGCTTAGTGAGAAGTTTTATTAGAAAGGGAAGGGAGGGGGGAGAAAAGAGGTAACGAGACACAGAGACAGAGAGAGGGCAGAAAAGTCCTGTCTGCCCCCGGAGAAGGGGAGTAAGTGGGAAAGAGAGCGTAAGTGGGCGGGGTCTGTCTTTTAAAGGGGTCCTTTGCACCTGCGTGCAGACTAGTAGTCGTGGAACCCTGGGCTGACCAGGGCACTGCCTGAGTGCATTCTGCCAGGTGACAGGGGCAGGCCAGTATGATGCCTGAATTACACTTAACACTCAGGAGGCTGAGGCAGGAGAACGGCCCCTAGTTCAAGGCCAGCATGGGCTACGTAGTGAGTTGTGGGTTATCCTGAGCTACAGAGTAAGACCTTCTTTTACAATATAAATTAATTAATAAAGTCAGGTATGGTGATACACGCTTTTAATCCTAGTACTCAGGAGGTAGAGGCAAATGATCTCTGAGAGTTAGATGCTACCTTGGTCTACATAACCAGTTCCATACCAGTCAAGGCTATATAATATGACCCTGTCTCAAAAATAATAAAAGAAAAGAAAGATGAAGGCTGAAGAGAAGACTCAGCAGTTAAGAGCAACGGCTGCTCTTCCAGAGGACCCAGGTTCAATCCCCAGCAGCCACATGGTGCCTCCCAACCACCTGTAACTCTAGTGCCAGGGGTTCAGACACTCTCTTCCAGCCTTCAAGGACAGCAGGCACGCAGGCGGTATGTAGACCCATGCATAGGCAAAACACCCATACACATAAAATAAAAATACGTTTTATTGAGAGACCAAACAAGGGCGTACAGAGATGGGGGTGGGGGGACTTTTCACAGGTGCTGAGTCATTCTACCTAAGCATTATTTTTAATTGTGTGGGATGCCAGTGACTCTGCCTAGGGCCTCGTACTGCCAGTCACATGACGAACCCCTGAGCTGCGTCTGTCTCCAGACCCTACTTTAGCATTTTCATCCCAAGTTCTGGCTCCACACAAAACAGAGAACTCAGAGCAGAGGGCATGGCCCTGTTTCTCTGTACAGATCTGTTTTCAAACCCTGGGCCCCGTTGAACTCGGTGGTGCAGGAGGTTGAGATGGAGGACCATGAGTGGACAGAAATTCCAGACCAATTAGCCAGACCCCAACTCAAAGAAGGGAGGAAGGAAGGGAGGGAGGGAGGGAGGAAGAAGGAAGGAAGGGAGGGAGGAAGAAGGAAGGAAGGGAGGGAGGAAGAAGGAAGGGAGGGAGGGAGGGAGGGAGGGAGGGAAGAGGAAGGAAGGAAAGAAGGGAGGGAGGGAGGGAAGGGGGGAGGGAGGGAGGGAGAAGGAAGAAAGGAAGGAAGGCGGAAGGGAGGGAGAAAAGAAAATGGGGTTGGGTGGAGGGAAAGCGGATATGCTGTCATATTCCCGTGTATTGTGCAAGTGTGATGGGTACCCACAAAAGACAATGCCCTTTGCAGGCAACAGCATTCAGCACAGCTGCGGAGCTTGACTCTGATGTCAGCACCTCGTAAAGGAGTGTTGTGAGGCGGTTTCAAAGGGCTCTCTCTGCAACCTTCAGACTCAATGCCCTTCCTGAGCTGTTGCCCTGGGCCAGCTTGCTCAGGTGGTGAGCTGGGCTGATCCCTGTGGGTGGTGAGTGCTGGCCCTCGTGTAAGGAAGGCAGCTTGATCATGGGAGTTTGGAAACAGATCAATAATCCACTTTGGAGACACCAGGGTGTTACCGGCCCGTGGTCTGCTGTCTCGAAACAGTTATCAGGTGGTTTAGAAGGCGCTGCCTGCCGGTTTTCAGGTGATGTAATAGTCAAAACTCCACTGACCTACCTGTGCCATTGGTCACCGCCGGCCCCTCCCCCTGCTGCTGTCCTGCCACCTCCAGCCAGGCTGTCACTGGGAAGTGGGTGAAAGGAAATGCCAAGGCCAATGCAAAGGCCTCTTGTCACCTCCCAAGGGGCGGTGCCCCTCCTTGGTACTTGGGGCTGGAGCATAAGGAAAGTCGCAGTCTCAGTCACCCAGGCAGGGTGGCAGGTGGGCTGAGGGAGGGCCAAGTGGCGGTAAGGCTGTGACAGTAGTATTAGCTGAGAATGCCCCAGGCTCTGGAGCAAGCCGATGGCAGATGGGCCTGGGTAGTGCTGCTGGCCTCCCTGGTGACCCAGGCCCTCACCGCGAGCTTCCCTTCCTGCATCGGCGTCTTCTTCACTGATCTACAGCACGACTTCCAGGCCACCAACAGCGAGACCTCATGGTTTCCCTCTATCATGGTGGCCATGCTCCACGGCGGGGGTGAGCAGCCTGGAGAGGGGGAGAGGGATGAGGGGTCTGTTGAGGGTGGGGTGGATCTTCCTGACTTACTAGGTCCCTCTTTCTGGGGCCACAGGGTTTACCTCCTGGGTGCGTTCCTGAGGTTCACTTGATCTGATCAGGGCCTGGCCTACCTGGCTAGGATCCAGCTGCGTTATGTAGTGTTCCTAGAAGTCTGGGTGCATTAGGGATGAGAAAGTGAGTGACAGCTGAGGCTCAAAGTCAGCGATCATTCCGGAGTCCTCTGGTGACTGATCTGGGGTGCAGGCATGCAATGGCAGGCTGAGTGGCAGCTGGTGCTGAGGTCATCCCTCAGGACCTTTCCTTCCCCGTGTGATGTCACAGGGGAGACCTCATGGGTCCCGGAGCCAGCTTGAGCTAGGAGATACACGGGGCTGGAGATACACTAGAGATCCTCACTGTGGCTTCCAGCCGTAAAGAGGGGCACAGCCAAAGCCCCATGTCTCCCTGGAGGGCCGCCCGCAGAGTCTGGGGCTTAAAGGGGAGACAGACCCCGTCCCCCCTTCTCCTTGCTCTCCAACTACACCAGCTGACACCAGGGACCTCTCCCCCAGGGCCTGGGCTGGTTACTCCATAGTCAGAGACCTCAAAGGGGGCTTGATCAATGAGAGCACAGCCTACTATCTGCAGGGCTCACTCTCTGACACACACACACACACACACACACATACATGCACATACATATACACACATATACACACACACATCCTGGGTGTCTGCTGTCTTACACACACACACACATATACACACATACACACATGTACACACACACATCCTGGGTGTCTGCTGTCTTACACACACACGTATACACCCATACACACATGTACACACACGTACATCCTGGGTGTTTGCTGTTACACACACACACACACACACACACACACACACACACACACACACACGTTTGTCTGGCTCTGCTGATTCCAGCTCCCCAGCAACCTTTCTCTCCGTCACTCCCTCCATCAGCCTGGTGGTTATCCCAGACGCTTTCCTCACACTGAGAAAAAGCAAAGTCGGGGCTGGGAGATTGCCAGCCTCCACGATGACCCTGAATTGTGGACTTAGGGTGAGAAGGAAAAGCCCAGCGTGGCCTACAATGTGTGGCCTCCTGGCTTTCGGGCTGGAGTGTACAATGGGAATCTGAGGGGCCTTTGCCATGCAGGCCAAGGAGGGGGCCTGCAGCAGAGACTGGAGATTGGGCATCCTGCGGACACCCCAATTCACCAGCCAGCTTTGGGCCCACTGCCCTGTCACAGACACACCCACAACTTCTGTTGGTGTGAGATTCACCTGTCCATCCTCTCACCTGCCTAAGTGTGTCAGACTGTAGAGGAGAACAAGGCCCGAGCCCAGGGCGCACAGACTGAGGAGGGGTCTGAACACAGGGACAGTGCTCAGCCAGGCCCGGGCACAGGAGGCTCTAGAGCCCCACCCCAGCTCCACGCGGCTCATCTACGAAGGTCACCTTCCTGAGTGAGTCAGGTAAAACCCCAGAGGTGGGGAAGACACGTGGGCCGGCGGTCATGCCCAGCCAAAGATTCCTTCCATGCTCGGCAGGAGCAGGCGCGGGCTGCTTGCGGGGCTGTTCTGGTACCTACACCGGCTCACACCACACTTCCTCCCATCCAAGATACACACACACGTGCTGTGTGCGCACACACTGTCTCCGCCCTCTGGGAAAGTTAGCGAGAATCTCCATTGCATGCATTTGTGGGGGGAGGTGCCCAAAGAGCGCGCTCTCGTGAGCTGTCTAGGAACAGCGGAACAGTTTGGTTTCTACTTGCCAGAGCGTGGGGCTAGGGAGAGGCAACTTGGGGTGAGAGCGGCCCTTCTCCACATGGGGCCAGGTGTCTATTGACTGAGGGGGCTTCGTGTTGAATAGTTTAGGGAGCCACTGTCTGTCCTTCCTTCCTCCCTTCCTTCCTCCCTTTTCTCTCAGTCTTCTCTCTGTGTCTCTCAGACTCTTCCTGCTTCCAGTCCCTCTCTGTTTCTCTCTCCCTCTCAGTATATCTCCCTTTCAGTCTTTCTCTCTCCCAGTCTCAATCTCTCGTTTGCTCTCTCCCTCTTTGTCTGTCTGTCTTTCTCTCTGTGTGTCCAAAAGATAGAACCCGAGACCTCCATGCTAAACATGCTCTCTCTCCCGCTCAGCTACATCCCCAGCCCTGGGTGCATGGGTTGGGTAGTGGCTGGAATCAGTGAAGGAATCTGGCCTGGTTGTCTCCCTAGCACTCCAAAGGTCAGAGCCAGGAGGCACAGAGTAGTCCAGGACCCCAGTCAAAGGCATGAGGTTGGGAGGTGAAGGGTCCAGTCTTCCAGAAAACCGTGGGGTGGGTGAGAGCGAGGGCTGGAGATGCAGGCTGAGATCAAGTGTTCCAGGGGTTCTTTCTGGGGTGACCCCTGCAAGGGTGTGATGCTCACGGGGGTTATAATCCCACACTGTTAGACCCACATGGAATTGTTGCCAGCTTGGGTGAGTGAAGGGCTTTGAATGCCCTTTAGATGTCCTTACGGTGATCACATATCACCTAGTCCAACCACTCGTTCTCTAGGGGAGGAAACTGAGGCACAAAGGGACGGGAAGCCTTACTGGGGCCACATGGCCAGACTGTGGCAGGGTGGAGACCAGAAGAGTCAGGCTAGCAGATTTTCGGGATCTCTAAATCCCCTGGCCAGTTCCTACTAGAACCCCTCTCCCAGCCAGCCTGCTGTGTGCCTGACTCCAGACCTCCTTACCTGTGTTGCCTACAGGACCCCTGTGCAGCATCCTCATAAAACACTTCGGCTGCCGAGTGACCATGATGCTAGGAGGCTTGCTGGCCAGCCTGGGCATGGTGGCCAGCTCCTTCTCCACCTCACTGGTCCAGCTCTTCCTCACTGCAGGATTCATCACGGGTAACTGTCACTCTGCTCCAAGTGGCAGGGCAGGTGGGATTGCTTACAGCCCAGGAGAGAAGACAGCCAGGGGACAGGTCCGTAAGAACGCTTGAGAGGGCAGGAGAGGACATTCCTGGCCTGAGGGAATGTGGGAAAGCGGGAAGAGTCAGGAAGGAAGACACCCGAGGCTACATAATGAGATTCTTATGGTTCATTGTCAGTTTGAGGCCAGACTGGACTGCATCGAGAGTGGTGTCAAGCCAGCTTGAGCTACAGAGTAAAACCCTGTCTCAGATAAACCAGCAAATGACAAGGGCCCACTCACTGCATGGTCAGGGAACAAGAGACGAAAAAGAGGAGCAGAGGGCCCCAGTAGTCCCTGACCCAAAGATCTCCCGTTAAACCCTACTCTCTCTTTTTAATTTTTTAAAGGTTTCTGGAGCTGGAGAGATAGCTCAGCAGCTAAGGTCCTCTTCCAGAGGGCCTGGGCTCAAATCCCAATACCCACACGCAGTTCACAATTGTCTGTCAGTCCAAGATTTGACACACTCACACAGACATACCTACAGGCAGAACACCAATGCACATAAGTAAATAAATTTTTAAAAAAGAATAAGCCTGGGCTGGAGAGATGGCTCAGAGGTTAAGAGCACCGACTGCTCTTCCAGAGGTCCTGAGTTCAATTCCCAGCAACCACATGGTGGCTTACAACCATCCATAATGAGATCTGGTTTCCTCTTCTGGCGTGCAGGCATACATGGAGGCAGGATGTTGTATTCATAATAAATAAATAAATAAATCTTTAAAAAAAAAGAATGTACAGAAATTCACCGAGATGGTGGTTTAAAAAAAAAAAAAAAGAATAAGCCTGAGGATGGTGGCACACACCTTTAATTCCAGCACTCAGGAGGCAGAGGCAGGCGGATCTCTGAGTTCGAGGCCAGCCTGGTCTACAGAGCAAGTTCTAGGACAGCCAGGGCTACACAGAGAAACCCTGTCTTGAAACAAACAAAACAACGTGCCTGCAAAGCCTCCAAAGTGCTGGGATTAAAGGTGTTTACTACCACAAAGACCTGGCCGGTAAAGAAGGGAAAGGAATATTGCAAAACAGACGAATTGCTGGTGGGAGGGCTTGAGGAAACAGGCCAAAGGGCAGAAACCGAGAGCTAACCCTGAGGGCACAGAGGAGCCACCGCCCCACGGACAGCTAAGAGAGGGTTAGGAACCAGGCTTTGGAATGCGGAGAGGAAGGAGCCTAGACTGCCACCTAGAGGCCAGACAGGTGAATGGCTGAACAAGCTGTAGCAGCAGATGTAGGGGTGGGGGATGCAGCTTTCTTTCTGTTGGGGGCTTTTTCTCCAGCACTGACCACTGTGGGGCACAGCAGGGAGACCCCGCTGGGGAGGTTGCATCTTGGCTAAGTGGAGTATATTGCAGGCAGAAGACATGGCCCTGTCAAGGGTCACAAAACACAGGGGCAGTCCGCAGTTTAGAGGAGAAGGAGCCTGCAGGGTTCCATCCCGGTGACCTGGTGACCCACAAGAAGTGTCGGTGATGCCAGGGCTTAAGCCAAAGTCAAGCCGCAGTCTTCCAGGGCAGAGAAGACGCTCAGGATGTCTAAGTGAGACAGAAAGTCTTTGGGAGGCGTTAAAAGCTGATGTTTAAAATGTCACTGCAGCCAGGCAGTGGTGGTGCACGACTTTAATCCCAGCACTCGGGAGGCAGAGGCAGGCGGATCTCTGTGAGTTCTAGGCCACCCTGGTCTGCAGAGCGAGTGCCAGGACAGGCTCTAAAACTACACAGAGAAACCCTGTCTCGAAAAAGCAAAACTGAATAAACAGATAAATAAACGTCACTGCAAAGAGCTCGATAGATGACTCAGTGCTCACAGTGTGTACTGCTCTTGAAGAGGACCTGAGTTTATCTCTCAGAGCCCATGTAAAGTGGGTCACAGCCACCGTCACTCCAGCTCCTGATGCCTCTGACCTCCGCAGGCATGGAACTCGGGTACACACACGCATATGCATATAATTAAAAATAAAAATAAAATCTAGGGGCAGGATAGATGGCTCAGAGGACCTGGGTTCAGTTCCCAGGACCCACATGGTGGCTCACAACCATCTGTAACTCCAGTTCCAAAATATCCTATGTCCTCCTCTGAGCTCCACAGGTATCAAGCATGAACATGGTGCATATACATACCTGCAGGCAAAACACTCATGCACATAAAATGAGTAACTCTAAGAGAAAATTTCTTTGAGACAAAGTCTCACTACGTAGCCCTGGCTGACCTGGAACTCATAGAGATCCTCCTGCCTCTGCCTCCTGTGTTCTGGAATTAATGTCACTCACCATAATAATACCTGAATTAAAAAAGAAGAAGAAGGTTCTGGTAGTGCTGGCAGAGGGGAGCTGGGAGAAAGAGTTGGGTGAGACGCTCACACGCAGGTGGTCAGGTGCCTTCCGTCGTGGGAACTTGGAAGTGTATCTGTCTGGCCTTAGGGACAAAGGAGACAGACATGTAACATGAGCCAAGACCCCTATTCCGTGTGGAGGTAGAAAAGTCCCAGAACGTCCCTGAGCTGATGTCCCCTCTCGCACTACAGGGCTGGGCATGTGTTTCAGCTTCCAGTCAAGCATCACCGTCCTGGGCTTGTACTTTGTCCGCTGTCGGCCACTAGCCAATGCACTGGCCTCCATAGGAATCTCCATGGGCGTCACTCTCTGGCCACTGCTGGCCCGGTATCTTCTGGAAACCCTGGGCTGGAGAGGCGCCTTCCTCATCTTCGGTGGCATCTTCCTCCACTGCTGTGTATGTGGGGCTATCCTGAGGCCTGTTGCCACCAACGTGGTCCCTGAGCCCAAAGAAGATCCCCCTCTGCCTCCCAAGACACCGACACCACGCAGCTGCCTGGCAACATGTGTCTCAACCGTCCAGTACCACCTGGCCTTTGACATCCTTCGGCACAACATGGGCTTCTGCATCTATATAACGGGCGTGGTGTGGATGATGCTGGGTTTCCCGCTGCCGCATATATTCCTGGTGCCGTACGCTATGCACCAAGGGGTGGATGAGTATTGGGCGGCCATGCTCATGTCGGTCATCGGCTTCTGCAACATCTTCTTGCGGCCAGTGGCAGGGCTGCTGGCCGGCAGGAAGAGCTTGGCTGCCTACCGGATATATCTGTTTGCCGCTGCGATCCTTGTCAACGGGCTCACCAATCTATTATGCACCGTGTCCGCAGACTTCTCGGTGTTCCTAAGCTATTGTCTGGTGTACAGCGTGTCCATGTGTGGCGTCGGGATCCTCTTCTTCCAGGTCCTCATGGACATTGTCCCGATGGATCGGTTCCCCAGCGCCCTGGGCCTCTTGACTGTCCTCTGCGGTGTGGCTTCTCTCGTCTCTCCACCACTGGCTGGTGAGAGCCTGGGAGGGAGGGAGGGCAAGCCAGGCACGCCCAGGTGGGGCCTGTAAAGGTAGGGCATAGGGGGCAAGGCAGAGAACACCTGGACAGATTTAAGCTCAGTCTGCCATTGTCACAAGGGACTTGGAATCTGTGATCCTCCCCTCTCCCCAGCAGCTCGGGGACCATGCTATAAGTGTGTTATCTACCTGACAATCAAGGTATGAAAACACAGGCTAGACCAGATGTGGTGATACATGCCTGTAATGCCACGAGTTGGGACATGGAGGCAGGAAGATCAAGAGTTCGAAGTCATCCTTTGGCTACATAGCAAATTTGATACCAGCCTGGGCTGTATGAGACCCTGTCCCAGACTCCCCATCAGAGAAAAGAGAGACAGAAAGAGAGGGCTAAGAGCACTGGCTGCTCTTCCAGAGGACCTGAGCTCAATGCTAGCACCCACATGGTGGTTCACATCCATTCAGAACCCCTCTTCCGGGGAATACAGCGCCCTCTCCAGGCCTCCACAGTACACTTACATACATGCAGGTAGAATGCTCATATACATAAAACAGATGAATTTTTTAAGGTAGGGAGGGGCTGGACAGATGGCTCAGCAGTTAAGAGCACCTGTCGCTCTTGCAGAGGACTTGGGTTCAGTTCCCAGCACCCACATGGTAGCTCACAGCTGTCTGTAACTCCCATTTTAGAGGATCCATGCCCCCTCCTGGCCTCTGTGGGTACTGCACACATGCGGCTATTTATATACGTACATGAAGACAAAATACTCATACACTTAAGTAAAAGACTTTTAAGCGGGGAGAGGGAGGCAAGGAGAGAGAGAAAGGTTTTGCACTCCAGACCCATGTGACTCTGGACCTTTGCTCCTACCAGTGAAGCATGCTGATAAGAGGCACGGCCTTGTAAGGAACCCAAGTTATGAAACAAAGGGCATGGCTCACGATAAGAGCTGCACCTGTGTTTACTGTAATGAACATCCCGCCAACTCCAAAATGCAGAAGAGAGCAGGTGCTATCACCATCCACCAGAACAATCACAGAGCACACCCACCAGAACAATCACAGAGCGCACCAGGCAAACCCTCACTCTTGGGCCTTACCTTCAGGAGTGGAAGCAGAGGGACACGTGGGGACTGATGTTAGGAGGAGGAAAACAAGCAGAACTTGTAAGATGAGACCCGGGGGAAGAGGGGGGACCTTCAGAGTGGGTGAGAGGAGGCTGGTCCAGGGGTGGTTCACACTCAGGTGCTCTGGCCACTACTATGGTCGGACCCTATCTATCCTCAGCTCAGTAAGCAGCCTTATTTATTTGTTTGTTTTTGGATGTCAAGACAGGGTTTCTCTGTATGGTTTTGGAGGCTGTCCTGGGACTTGCTCTGTAGACCAGGCTGGCCTCGAACTCACAGAGATCCTCCTGCCTCTGCCTCCCGAGTGCTGGGATTAAAGGCATGCGCCACCACTGCCCAGCATCAGCAGTCTTTTCCCAAGTGTGAGTTTCAGTTTCCCAGGAAGTCCTGCAGGCTACTGGATGCCTAATGATGTTGGGTTATGCCTAAGGTAGGGCTATGACTGGGCAAACATCTCAGATTCCACTCGTCCTTCTCTCCATTTTCCCTGCCACCAAGGGTAAAGGGCCCTCATGTTCCCTGCTGGGGAGGACATCTGCCTAGGCCAGCAGCCGGGTTTTTCTTCCCTCCCTGTCTTCCCACACATATCCATCGTGCACCTCCAAGGTGCCAGACATAACCTCTTGTTGAGCAGAAGTGAGTATAAAATCTCTACCCTCAGCTGGGCGTTGGTGGCGCATGCCTTTAATCCCCGCACTCGGGAGGCAGAGGCAGGAGGATCTCTGTGAGTTCTAGGCCAGCCTGGTCTACAGAGTGAGTCCCAGGACAGCCTCCAAAGCCACAGAGAAACCCTGTCTCGGAAAACAAACAAACAAACAAACAAACAAACAAAAAGAAATCTCTACCCTCCTCAAGTACCCAAGTCAGCTGGAGGACCCCTTACAGCTTCCGTTGTGGGTTAACTGGTTCTTTGTCCCCCAGGACTCCTGCTGGACGCGACCAACAACTTCAACTACATTTTCTACGTGTCAAGCTTCTTGCTCATCTCAGCCTCCCTCTTCATAGGCGGGGGCTTCTATGCCGTGGATAAGAAGAAGCTGAGGCAAAATGGGCAAGTCAAGGTGGAAGGCGCTGTCTCGGAGGTCACCCCGATGCAGGACCTTACCTCGGAAGACAAGGCCAGCACCAAGAAGCAGCTGTGCCCTGAAAAAATATATGTGAGCAGTGTCTGAACTCCAGAGGTCGCATGCAACCTGCCTCCGAGCTCGGAAGTCCCTGAGGGACCGTCCTTCCAGAAAGCAGAGTGTAGAAATAGGGCCTCCGTGGCCTTCTTCCTTGGGGCCCAGGAAAGTGGGTCTGAGCCCCGCTCACGAAGCAGCCATGGCTAGCTGCCCTGGGCTGGCTTCTCACAGCTGCGCCTACAACACAACTCTCTGTGTTTTCCCACCCAACCTTCCCATGTCGGTTGTCCTTCTTGGCCTCCAGACAATTCTGAAGAACTCCCTCCTCAGATAATCAGCCCCAACCCCCTAGGTCAGGAGGATTAAGGGGGCTGCTTCTGAAGGGACCCTCACGCTGATGGAGCCATAGGAGAGGAAGAGCAGAGGCCAGGATAAGTCGTTGGCCTCAGTACAGGATAGGGACAGATTGACTGTTCGGTAGAGCTCAGGTCCTGACACCTATGCAGAGAGCTGTCCCGGAGGGGGTCCTCCTGCTTGGGTCTCAGAGTTTATGAAGTCTGAGGAGTCTTCTACTGTCCGCCAAGCAGGGCCTGAGGCATCATCTTCTCTTTTACCCCACTTTATGTCCACGTAAGGGAAGGCAGACGCTGACGGACCCAGAGACCGGAAGGCCGGCCAGGCAGCCTAAGGGACACTATGAAAACTGAACTTGTATATGCAAACGGTAGCCTGTGCTCTGCTCTTGGACTTCTGAGGTTCCCCTTTCTCCAGGAGGCCATCGATAGAGTGAGGCATTAACCCTGAGGCAACAGCTGCTGCTACCCTGAACTCATGGCCTGGAGCTATGCCCATGTGTACACACTTCTGCTGCTGCCCTCTGAGGTCATTACCCGGGGCTAGCTGTCATCAGCCCAGGCTTTCACAGCAGGGCACTCTTGGGAATGGGAAAACAGACTGTTTGAATTATAGACAAAAACATTCCCTGAAGCGGGTCATAAACCCTGGGCTAACAAAGCAGGAAAAACAGCCTGAGTAAAATTTCCTCCGCTCTCCCAAGTTGGCAGAAACTTCTTGGTCTTGTTTGTTGGTTCAGGCTCAACCAGGCTGCAGCAAGAAAACCTTATCAGGAAAAACGATTTTATTTTCATGACTGACGCCAGCCCTCCTCCTCCGCAGAGCCATCTGGCATGAATAAGCATCTTTAGGACAGTCCTGACTCCTCTAAGATGCTATCATGAGTGCCCCCACGTGGCCAAAAGAAGTACTGCAGCGGCGCATTTGCTGAGCTGTCGCTCCGCGTTCGCTCTCTAGACCTCGGGTGGAGTAAGAAGGGAGGTAAAGGTGCTCGCTTGCCACGCCTGACGACTTGAGGTTGATCCCTGGGTCCCACGTGGTAGAAGGAGAGGCTCCACTACCACAAGTTGTCCTCTGGCCTCCTCTCGTGCACTGTGGCACACACACACACACACACACACACACACACACACGCAAAAATAAATGCTTTTTTTTTTTAAAGTTTGGCCTGTAGGAGATAATGTCACCCCTTCAGATGGAAAAGTCTGTCTCTGTGTCTAACCCCCACTGTTTTCCTGATCCCAACTTGGTCCTGAGCTTGGCCACAGGCATAGCTTGTGCCCTGGAAGGAAAAAAAATGCCAGGACTTATTTTTCCCACCCTAATGGAAAACAAGAGTTGGGGCCGGCTAACAGGTCGACTTCCAGAAAACACTTGTGTAAAATGGCACCCGTGAACCTCCAGCTAGGACACTTTCATCTCACCTGCCCCTTGGTAATAATGGCATAATAATTAATAATGGCGTTAATCCATGGGCAACAAGAAGGAATCAGGACAGGCGTGTAGCTGAGAATGTGTGCGCACCAAGACCTCTCCCTCCGTGACGACAGCAAGGCAAAGCTGCCGGCCTTCCTGAGGCGCCTTGGGGCCCTCAGATCTTGTTTTGGGTCTGGGGGACGTTTCGTTTTGTAGTCAGGGTCTCGAGCTGTTCTCAAACTCCTAGAGGTCCTCCAGCCTCTTCCTCCAAGTGCTGGGATTAAAGCGCCACCCACCACGCCTCGATGACCGCAAGGTCCGTCTGCCCATCAGTCCCACCCACCCACCCTCCGCTCCCTCCCTCTCCCTTGCCTCCCTCCCCGCCTCCCTCCTCCCTCTGCGAATCCCCGCGGCTGCGCAGCTGGGCTGACGCCCGAAAGCCACGAGCTCCGGAAACGGCGCGAGAAGCCCAGGAGGCGCTCAGTAGCCACGCCCAACCCCGTCCTGGTCCAGCCCGTTCCGCTCCCTGGGGCGGGGCTAGAGCGATTTCCGCCCGGAAGCGGTGTGGAGAGCGCGGCGAGGGGTGTGCCTCTGGTTCCCAGTCCCCACAGCTCTTTTATCACCCCCGGGGTTGAGATCCTACCCAGCCCTATAGCCCATCTCCGGCCGGCCGGGGTTTGCTTCTCGCCCCGGGACAGATCAGGGTCCAGGCGAGGGTTTGGCGCGACCCTGTGGCCTCCTCCTCCTCCCCATCCGTCCCTCCCGGCTCCTTCGCCGCTCCAGCCATGGCACAGAAGCCCAAGATAGACCCCCACGTCGGGCGGCTCGGGTACCTGCAGGCGCTGGTCACCGAGTTCCAGGAGACCGAGAGCCAAGGTGAGGGGTGTGGGGTGGGCGCGAGGGAGCGCGCGGGGCCCCGACGGCGGCAGCCGCACGGCCCGAGCCCAGCCCCGCTTCCCACTGCAGACGCCAAGGAGCAAGTCCTCGCCAACCTCGCCAACTTCGCCTACGACCCGGGCAACTACCAGTATCTGCGGCAACTGCAAGTCCTCGACTTATTCCTCGATTCGCTGTCGGAAGAGAACGAAACCCTGGTGAAGTTTGCCATTGGTAAGGGTTAGGCCGGCCCCCAGGTACGGACTAGAGCGACACCAGAGATTTAGAAGTGAGTCCGTGAGCCCAGGCGCGATGGCACTCGCCTGTAACCCCAGCATTATGGGAACCTGAGGCAGGAGGATTGCCACGACTTGGAGGCCAGCCTGGGATGCAGAGTAAGGCGCTGTCACAACGCGGAACCAGTCTTTAGGACAGGAGTCTCATCTGCCAGGGCACACCTCCCATACGTGGGACCATCTCCCCCTCCGTACATTGTCCGGGGCACAGCTAATCTGAAACGGCTGGAAGTCGCTGCCAGCCCTTCGTGTCTCTCCTTCCTCTTAGAGAGGGCAGGATAAGCGAGGAGGTGAGTCAGAGCTGCTTGGGAAGGAGTGTGGAGCTTGCTCTTGTATCGAGAGATGAAAAGGTGACTTGAAATTTATAGCCGAGGACTCCTGGGTTAGATGATTGTAAGACTCTGTGTGTGTGTGTGTGTGTGTGTGTGTGTGTGTGTGTGTGTTTGCATGTATGAGTGCTGCATGTGTGTGTTTGGATGTGTGTGTGTTTGCATGTGTATGTGTCTGCATGTGTATGTGGTGCATGTTGTGTATGTGTGGTGTGTGTGTTTGCATGTGTGCATGGTGTGTGTGTGTGTGTGTGTAGACAGGTTTGTGCACCGCTTGAAGCTCAGAGGACAGTGACTCACAGTGCTTTAATCCCAGCACTCAGGAGACAGAGGCATTCGGATCTCTGTGAGTTCCAGGCCAGCCTGGTCTACAGAGCGAGTTCCAGGACAGCCAGAGCTGTTATACAGGGAAACCCTGTCTCGAAAAACCAAAAAAAGAAAAAAAGAATAGCCCCAGGACTGGAATGTGGCCCGGTGACGGAGTTACCTGTGTTTTGGTTTGTGTACCCGCATGCCTGAGACTCAGTAGACCAGTTCTCAGCATTGGAAGAAGATAATGCCAAAATTGTTTCGTTATGCGCATTTCTCTAACAGTACTCTAAAGAGCTTCCTTTTTTTTTTATGGAGAGGTAAGGGGCATATGCTGTTCTTTCTCTGAGGCAGGGTTTCACTATGTAGCCCTGGCTGTCCTGAAATTTGTCTGCCTCACGGATGCTGGGATTAAGGACTTTCGGGGGACAAGCTGTAGCGTCAGTTCCTCTACCTTGTGAGTCCTAGGGGTGCAACTCCAGGCGTGAAGCTTGCTGTCAGGTGCCTTTAGCCGATGAGCCGTCTTGCAGGCCTAAAAGGACATTTTTTTTTGGAGGTGATTTGTATAAACTAGGGTCCAGTTTGGGACCTGTGCATTTTGTCTAACTGCTCGTTAGAGGGGTCTCTTTCTGTCCCAGATGAACTTTTCATCTTAGAACAAGTTGAGAAAACTTGAAGGGACTGGTTGTATAGCTCAGCTGGTAGAGTGTGGTGGCCCGGGCTTGTGATCCCAGCACTCAGGAGATGGAGACCGGTGGGGGAGGAACTCTGGTGCCTGTCCAGCCGCATAGTAAGTCCACGACTGAGCCACTCAAGACTTTCTCAGCAAAGAAGAACTCCAAACATACAAGTTCCCACATAGTCACACCGACGTTTTCCTGCTCCTAACTAAGCCAGTATGGATGCATCATCGTTAGCCAAAGTCTTTTTTTTTTTTTTTTTTTTTTTGGTTTTTTTCCGAGACAGGGTTTCCCTGTGGCTTTGGAGGCTGTCCTGGAACTCACTCTGTAGACCAGGCTGGTCTCTAACTCACAGTGATCCGCCTGCCTCTGCCTCCCGAGTGCTGGGATTAAAGGCGTGCGCCACCAACGCCTGGCTAGCCAAAGTCTTTATATTGGTCAAAGGCCCTTCATTTTTTTCCTGATACCCTTTTTCTGACCCAAGATCCCACATGGCACACATGATTTGATCATGGTGTCTTCCTTGAGGCTGGGGTCGTGGGAGTGTTTTCTGAGGCAGGGTCTCACTATGTAGCTCTAGCTGTCCTGGAACTCCCTATGTAGATCAACCTGCCTCTGCCAGCCTAGTGCTGGGGTTACAGATTGGGTCATCATGCCCAGCGTGATGTTTTTCTCATGTTTGTTCTGAAAGGAAGGTGCAGTTTTTGCCACATCATGTTAGGAGCATTTAGTGCCTGTGTGACGTAACTCTCCTGACGCTCACCTTCATGATCTGACTGAGGGAATGTTTGCCAGATGTCTGTACTGTGAAACCACCCCCACCCCCAACACCCCGCTTCCCAAAGTGCATTTGGGAAGGGAGTTACTGCATAAATTGTCTTAAATCTCTTTTCTTTTAAGCATTTTTTTTTATTTCCTGTCCATTTATGTAGTGTGTGTCAGTGTCTGTGTCAAGATGGGGACGTTGAAGTCCAGGGACAACACGCAGGAGTCAGTTGTCTCCTTCCCCCATGTGAGATCAAGGGATGACTCTCAGGTTGTCAGGCCTGGCAGCAAGTGCCCTTACATCTTTTTTACTTCTTCGATTTGGGAGATGCTTTGGCAGGAGAGATACAAGCAGTATCTGAGCCTTCTCTGTAGGGCGCCAGCAGCAACCAGAGTTAGATCCCACCCAAGTGCAGCTCGGGTAGCCACTGGTGCTTATGGGACTTACAGAATGGGGTGACCTTTTAGCGACTGTACCACCAAAAAGTCTTGCCCCAGCATAGGGGATGACTTCCCATAGTCGGAGCCCCTACTCCCTCAGTAAGCTGTAGCACCTTCATGGCACAGGCACGTACAGCAACCGAGAGGCACAGGAGGGAGCCCCTGGAACCTTGAGTGAGGGTCTAATGACTCTCAGAGCATCAGTAGTCAGGAAGCACAGCGGGCATGCCTCTTGTAAACAGTCACAGTCGCACCAGTGAAAACGACAACTCTGGGCCATGTGTAGTACCACTTACCTTTCATCTCAGCACCCAGGAGGCAAAAAGGAAAGAAAATGGCAACATAGTTCACGTTTGGAGGGTAGCCATTACAGTTTCTTAAAAGATGCTCTTTCCATAGTGCCTATGGTTGAATGGTCTACACCGTGTCTATAGGATGTCCCACCTTCCTATATGTCATTTAACTCGGAGCTTCTTAACCTTTTCCCACTCAGAAGCTTTATTTGCCGGAAAAAAAAAATTCAGGGGGATGGGTACGGTTTAAGACAGGGTTTCTCTGTGTAGCCCTGGCTGTCTTGAAACTCACCCTGTAGACCAGACTAGCCTCAGACTCAGAGATCTGCCTGCCTTTGCCTTCCAAGTGCTAGGATTAAAGGCATGTGCCACCTCGGCCTAGCCATCTGGGAAATTTTTACTTACGTGTATAGCTACATACAAAAATAAGCACACAAAACAAATGTTACTATAGCAAATCATAAAGAAATATAGTCCTGGTATTTGGTGGGGGTGGAGGCAAGAGTTTAAGATGATCTTTTTCAGATAAGGAACAACTTTGAGGCCAGCCTGGGCTACATGAGATACCCTGTCCAAGGGAGTGGAGGGATCCTTGGTAAACATATGATTTTACTATTTATTAAAGGCTACGTTTGCATACTGATAAGATGGATTGTTTGTTTATTTTTCCACATACTCAAACCTGGCTAAACGTTTGATATTGTGTGACAAAATATCCTTGGTGTTTGTCAGAGTTTTAATGGCTTTACTTTTATAAGGTCAGTGCTGAGATCTCTGATTTACAGAAATACACAGTAACAAATGGTAGGTGCGTGTTTAGCGCTGTGATTAAAACTGTGCCTAGCATACCCAACTGGCCTGCCATTTTAGGGCCTCCGCATTCAGTTACATAACCTCCTGTGTGGTGGTGACTTACAATATAAGAAGCAGTGATTTAAGTCAGGCAGTGGTGGCGCACGCCTTAAATCCCAGCACTCCACAGACAAGCGGATCTCTGTGAGTTCAAAGCCAGTCTGATCTACAGAGAGCTCCAGGACAGCCAGGATTACACAGAGAAACTTGTCTTGGAAGGAAAAACAAAGAAACAGTAATTTAGCTTGTCCTTCTGTCTCCTTCATTTCCTGTAACCTAGGAATTGGATTGAATAGTGTAACAGACCAGTGACACTTTATCCCTGAATCCATTATGTATGATTTGGACTCTTAGAGACGCCCAGCTCTTCTTGATGTTTGTGATCCACGGAATGGGAATACAGATCCTCTGTCTCTCACTGTGCAGGAGCTCCATGGCACACAGAAATCCCATCTGCGCCCACCCTCCACAAGCAGCTGCTCCACTAAATGCGGTGCTGAGGGAATCCACCCCAGGAGTCAGGACCCAAAAGAGGCCCCCGCAGCTGGAGGCACAAGCTTGGGGGCTGAGCCTCAGATGCAGGGGGATGGTGGGGCTCCAGGTGTGATCCTCATACTGGAGGAAGGATGATGGGGAGTTCAGGGTCAGCCTCAGCCTATATAGTGAGTTTAAGGGAGCCTCAGTTTATAACACTCCGTCTCAAAACCCTCTATAACTTTGTGCATACACCATTCCCAGCGCTCACTCAGGCGCCAGAGGCCAGCTGGGGTCTACATACTTTGTCTTAAAAAACAAGAGACCCTACAAAGAACTAAAGCACCTCCATCTGTCCCTCTGCCTCACTGCTGTCGCCCTCTGCATGGCGACAGTGGCCATGCCTCCACCTGGGAACCATAGATCTCTACAGTAGGCTGCCGACTCCAGTGAAAATGACCCAGTCACAGTGCAGACATTCCTCCAGATTCCAGTGTCTGCCTGCTGGGTCCTCAGCCCCCACCCATCCCCAGCTAGGGGGCAGTGTCCTCAGCACGGGGCACCTGAGACCTACAGACCCGGAGGCCCTATGGGAGACAGGCCTAGCCTGGGTCTGCTCTCTGGGCAGCTTCCCTAAGTGGATGACTATGTCCTGTCCCTCCTCAAGAACTGTCAGCATCATCACCAGTTTTATTTTCCCCAAGCATTTCTCTTGTGCCTATCCATCTTCACCTGGTCTAAGTCTCCGTCTCAAGTGTGGCTCCAGCTCTCAGCCTGGAATCTCTGGGATACTGT